GCCCAAGACCAGCCGGGGTGGAGGTGAGGTGCCGATGAGTTCCCAAGATGGGCCGGGGTGGAGGTGAGGTGCCGATGAGTTCCCAAGACCGGCCGTCAGCGCTCTGCTGCCCAACCTTGCCGCCTCCTACCCGTCATCCGCATCTCTTCCACGCAGCCTCAGAGCTGTTCCCATTTGGTGCGAGGGTAGAAATCCCCCGTCCGCAGCCCCTCTGAGGCCTGTCCAAGGGAGAGAGCCCTGAGGAGCCGCAGCCATCCAGCGGCATGGGGAGGGAGGGCAGCAGAAGCCCCCCAGCCCGGCGTTTGAACCTGCACGGGCCGTGCTGCCTTCCAGGTTTGTTAAAGGCATTTGTCATTCAGGACTGAACCTTGGGATTGAACCCAAACGTTGCCCTTCACCGTGGCGGGGCCCTTTGGTGTTTCAGGAAGCCACGGGCTTTCAGTGGCAAGCCTGGATGAGGGGGCTGGTTGCTGGTCCAGGCTCTCGATCACCCTAGCAAAGTAAATTCAGACGGCACGGAGTCAAAGCACTGGCTTGCTTCTTCAGCAGACTGTGCATGTGCTCATCCCCTGAGGGTGCGATGTGGCAATGCTGCTGGGGAAGGGAGACCCACAGAAAGATCTTTTTTACCTTGCTTAACAACAGATAAGAGAAAGAGAGAAGCAGATGTAAAATACTCCTGTGTCAGATCGAAGTGGGTTTTCTCCCTTTGCCCTTAAGCAAATCACTCTCATTCCCCAGCTGTCAGACTGGTGGGCTTCAGTGTCCGGCGATATGAACTGACAGAGAGATCCCAAACATCTGATCTCATTGCTGCATGGACTTTTTAAGAAAGCATAAAATCAAGACCACAGGGGATTTTAACAAATCTGTAAGTATTCAGCTACTGACTGTTTTGCCCTTTAACACATTAGATGTTTTAATTAGAAAGAAATTGACAAAAAAGAGAAATGCATCTTATTTCTATTTTTCTTTAAGTCCTGGCCACCCCTTACAGTGATGAACCCAGCTTTCCAAGCAGGGTAGCACACAATGGGAGGATTTAGGGAGCTCTGTACAGACCCACACCACCTCCATCAATACAAAGCCTCGAACCGTTCTTCACTTCCATATCTCTTTAAAAAAAAAACAGTGCTTTAAAAGCAGCTACCCCCTAAAAGGGCAAAGGAACAAACTAATGAGAGATATAGCTAGATGAGTTGCTGATGGCAAAATTCTTTGATTGTCTAAAGATCTATACAAATGCAAACACTTTTTGTGGTGGGGTGTGGAGACTTGGGTCTCTGGAGTTCTTGCTTGAGCCTGAGGTGAGTAGTTGCCACACTGTGAGGCATGGGCTTGAGTGGGAGGTTGCCTCGGAGAGCTACTCCGGGGCTAGAAATGTCACTTCTAATCAACTAGCTGTCCTCCCCATTGGGGCTCGATAAAACCCCCTCTAAACACCTGAGGAGACTGAGGTTCGCTACTTGGGGGTACAACTTTAGCATGTGCTGAGCTTTCAGCCAGTGGAGATGGCTATGTCTTGGTGCAGGGTCAGTCAGAGGATAAAAGTAATGCTTGAAGCCAAACAGCTGTAGCCTTCCTACAGGAGCTTTCATGAAAGCACCCTGAGGACACGGGCGCCGTGGGCCAGGAGAACACACACTGCTGTGAAAGCCAGGACTGGGTGGGAGGGTCCCGGGGGCTCTGGGGAGAGCCAGGAGGCTGCGGG